AACAAAAGGAAATTTACCATAAATATAATAAAATTGTTTGAGAACATACGTTGCTGGCCAAATGAACATATATCTAATAGAAATTTTCTACACATTATATACAAATTATTATAATTTTTTATGAAACTCATTAAATTTTATTATCAGAAAGGAAAGACTATAATCAAGTTTTATTAGTTTGTGTTCATCAATACATTCTACGAAATTCACGTTTCAATGATTAAATTAAAAAATATATATATTTTCGTAGGTATTTTAATGATCTCTGTTAGTTTCGACTGATTCGTCCTTTTTTATAATCAATATTATAAATATTCTTACATTAAACTGTGTATTATTTAGTGTGCATTATTAGTTTTTATGAGTGCAAGATTTTGTCCATTGTATGGGCAATAACTAATTGTTTATAAGTAGAGTTAAATGTTGAAAAATTAAAAAAAATTCTAAACGATTATAAAAGTGTAAAAATAGGTATTTTTAGTATTGATCATTTTTTATTATGATAGCAAGTATCTCTAAAAAATTGTGAGCCCTTTCTAAACCTTAATTTAAACCCACGGTACGAGATAAACATTTTGAAATTTTCTTAATTAACAATCAAACCACGAAACGGTCAATCGAAAACTACTTCACCGATTGTTGCAAAATTTTTAGGATAGAATTGTCATATGTTTTACTATTTGTTCACAAAGTTTCATCAATATTTACAAATATTTACTTATTTTAAAAATTGCTCTAAATATACACATGATTTTCTACCATTTTTCGTTCATTGTTAATACAAAATTCAACTTTTTTGATTCGCAGTTTTTATAACTTTATAGAATCGTCAAATAAACAAAAAATGAAGAATGGCTTTTTTTTTATTCAGGGCTAACTTTCAATGTTATAGGAAAAAATAGGTCGAAAAACTAGTAATTTTTCGTTCTTTTTTTATGTTTATTGTTCCCCTGAATTTAGCAATGGTTTTTTGGAATAGGCAAACTCGGATTCTTAGTCTACATAATATTTGGGATCTTTCTGTACAAGATCTATTCTCTGATCTATTTTCTGAACAAAATAGAGGACTTCAAATACAATCGCCTCGAATGCTCTATAGTCCAGACGGTAGGTATCTGTTTCAAAAAGCGATTCACCCAAATATGAATCGTATATCCACGGAGATTTCTGGCTTTTTGACTTTAAAATATTACTAGAAGTGAAAATTTTTCTATGCGCATAAAAAAACGTGGGCTTAACTTTTGGCGGCACAATATGTTAAAAAAATTGGAAAAATGTCATATTTTTCTCCCTATTTAATTATGTATCTTTTGAAGAGTTGGTTTTAGGCGAAAATGGAAGAGGAAAAAAATTTTTGTAATTAAATTTTTTTACAGAAGAAGACTAGTTACGAACGAATCATGATTATTATTGTAAAAATCGAAAAAATCGCCAAAAATGGGATTAAAAAACATTATTTCTTAGGGAATAGGGTCTTCATACTTGGCTCAAGAAAACTTCATGTTATGTAGAATCATCACACCAAATTTCATCAAAATCGGTTCGATAGATTTTGCATAATAATTTTGCAATCCAGATTTTGAAAAAAATTTTGCAAATTTTCAAAATTTTGCACAGCAAAGACCAAGGCCCTTAGATACTTGAAAATTAGTCACATATAATATTTAAAAAAATTTGATTTGGTTGAATATTCACAAAGTTATTCTAATTGTTTATAAGTACAAAAATTCAACCAATGTTTAAACAAGCGCCAGAGCTCTCATAATTGACGGCTTCGAAATTTTCAAAAAGCGTTTGAAAGCTTGAGAGCCCTTCTATATGTGATTAAATTTTCAAGAATCTAAGGGCCTTGGTTTTTGCTGTGCAAAATTTTGAAAATTTGCAATTTTTTTTTCAAATTCTGGATTGCAAAATTATTATGAAACATCTATCGAACCGATTTTGATGAAATTTGGTGTGATGATTGTACATAACATGAACTTTTCTTGAGCCAAGAATGAAGGTCCTATACCCAACTTAAAGACCTCAAAAAGATTCCCTAAAAAGTATTGTTTCTTAACCCTATTTTTGCGATTTTTTCGATTTTTACCATAATAATCATGATTCATTCGATTTGTAACTAGTCATAATTTGTCAAAAATTTAATTACAAACATTTTTTTCCTCTTCCATTTTCGCCTAAAATCAACTCGAAAAGATACATAATTAAATAGGAAGAAAAATATGACATTTTTCGAATTTTTTCAACATATTGTGCCGCCAAAAGTTAAGCCCACGTTTTTTTATGCGCACAGAAAAATTTCCATTTCCAGTGATATTTGAAAGCCAAAAAGCCAAAAATTCCCGTGGATATAACGAGCGTTCAAATAAAAACGTGGTCAAGTTGGTTCTGAAAATTTGGACGTAGGGCGTAGCTTATAGCAAATGAACTTAAACGTCATCTGTCAAAGCGCTATATCGCCGCTATCAATTTGAATATTTTCGTTTTAAAAAGCGTTTAAAATGGTGTTTTCTCAAGAACAAAAAGTGTTTATCATAGAGTCCTACTTTAGAAATGGACGCAAGATTGATGGAATATGGAAGTATTCTATTGAGGAATGTTTCATAGAATTTCAAAATCAATTTCCCGGCGTTGTTGAGTACAAAATTTTTCAAAGTGCAGTTCAGCGTTGTGTTAATGTTTTTCGTGAAACGGGCAGTGTAACAAGAAAAGAAGGAAGCGGCCGACCTAAAAAGCGGACTGAAGAATTAAAAGAAAATGTCCAACAAATAATGGAAAATGCGCCAAGAACTTCTGTACGTGTTTTATCA